GTAGTAGGTAGAATTGTAAGTGAAAGGGAGACAGATCTCAATAACCGTTGTTTGTTTTTTTGAGTAGATAGAATTGTAGGTGAAAGGGAGACGGATCTCAATAACCTTTGTTTGTTTGTTTTTTTGAGATGTGGTCTGGCTGTGTTGCCCAGGCCGGAGTGCAGAGGCCCAATCTTGGCTGATTGCAACCTCCTCCTCCCAGGTTCAAGTGATTCAGCGATTCTCGTGCCTTAGCCTCCTGAGTGGCTAGAATTACAGGTGCGTGCCACCACACCTGGCTAATTTTTGTATATTTGGTAGAGACGGAGTTTCACCATATTGGAGGCTGGTCTGGAATTCCTGACCTCAAGGGCAGATCTCAGTAACCTTTGATCTCTGCCCAAGGTGACACTCCTCCAGCAAAAGCTAACTTGAAACCTGGTGGTGTGGGTTCCAGGAAGGCTCTGGGATGAATCTTCCTGGATAGCTCTGACCAGTGTCTTCCCTCCGGTTCAGAAACCCAAAGAGGAGACCTTCCTCCACTGAACCAAGGCCAGCGGCCCAGCTCCTGCCAGATGGTGGCCACCCCCCACCCCAGGTGGTCCTGCGCCACTCCGAGTTCTGCTCAGAGTACCCCTGGTTGCAGGCGGGAGTGATGTTGAGATAATTGGAGACTAAAACCATAAGTGGTTTGAGAGCGGGGTTGGGGACCTGAACGCTGAGTGGGAGTTGGAGTTGGCAGGTCTGGGTTGGAGTGGGAGCAGAGGTGGGCCGGGGGCTGGGGCAGAACCCAGCGACTGAGTCTGGGAGAAGCCCCCGGGCCGGCGGAGCCGGCAGCTAAATTTACCCCGGCTGACTCAGCCCTTGCTCGGAATGGGGGGCCGGGGGAGGGCGCCAGGGCAGTGGGAAGAGCCAACAGGGGTGGGCTGGGGGCAAGGAAGGGAGAGTCCCGGCTGGGGGAGAAAAGAGGTGGGCCAGGAACTCCCAACGAAGAAAGCAGCCCCCTCTCCGTCACACAGAGCAGGACGTAGCAGAGGAGTCCCGGGGGATGGCCACCATGGGGAAACGGTCAGTGAAAGGAAGACGATGCCAAGGCTGGATAAAGGGAAGCTTAGATTTATTGAGCGCCTACTGTGTGCCAGGCGGTGTGCAAGGCGCTTTACATACATTATCGCATTAAGTCCTCACAACAACCCTGCGAGGTAGGTGTTTATAAACCCCCATTTGACAGATGAGGAAACTGAGGCTCAGGGAGGTGAAGTGATGCGGCCAAGTTCACATGGCTAATAAATGGCAGACAGAGGTGTTCAAGGATCGGAGAGAAGAAAAAAAGACTTCGGTGTCTGAGTCCCAAGCCGGCTGGGGTGGATGAGTACAAAGATGGGACCGGCGGGCTCCAAAGGTCTGGGAGGCCGGAGGCCTGCTCCCGGCCCAGCACGGCTGGAGACTGCAAGGCTGGGGACCGGCGCTTGGGAACTAGGGATCGGATTGAGTGGCAGAGCCGGAATTAGCAACTGGGGAGATCCGCGACCTGCGCGCGCCCTGTAGTGGCTATAGAGAGTATCACACCCCACGCCGACTGGCTTCTGGGGACCGGCCTCTTTCCTTGCCTGGCCAGTTTCTTCGGAAGAGGCCGAGATGGGAGACATTCTCAGGATTTTTTCAGGTGGGCGATACCACCTGGGAGGGAAATCGTGGCCACGCCTCAGAGCATCACTAAGGAGCATTAGGGTGGAGGAAAAGGGGAAGGCCTAAAGAGGTCCCAAGCTGATTCATTGGTGTCCTTCCCTCCCCAGCTCAGACCACCACAGGCCAGGGTCAGTGACAGGGCCACTATCTTGCCCTGCTTTGGGGAGCCCTCACCTAAACCTGGGAGACTGGGATAGGAGTGCCTCACTCCCTTACCTCTTCTGCAAACCTTGGGCAGTCTCCTGAATTGATCATGACTTCAGGTGACAAGGAGGCCGCCCAGAAACCCTCAAACTCTGTTCACTTATTCCCAACTCTCATTCTTGGCTTGTCGAGGGGAGGATTAGATAGAGTCCTTTCCAAAGATCTCAAAATGTCAGAGATGGAAGGATGGACCTTAGAATACCATTGTTTTATATACCAGGAGGCCTGGAGAGGGAAAGTGACAGGCCTCAGTCAACCAGCAAGTCAGTGGTAGAGTTGGGATTGAAATCCAAGACTTGTGACACCAAGGTGAGCCCTCCTTCTGCTTTGCTGGTTGTTGCTGGACCTATTCCTCTTCTGCCAAGAACCCCTCTGTCATCTGATCACTCTGCCACCGGGTCCAAAGCCTCTCCTTCACTTTTTCCCTCCTCCTCAGATGCCCTGCCCTACACTGCCCTCCTATGGCTGCCACCACCCCTGCCCTCCTGCCTGATCCTTGTTAGGCCTCTCTGCTCAGCTCCGCACCCAGTGCATCAGCTGCGAAGAGCTCACCCTTGTGTCCTGAACATAACAGACATTAATTAAATCTACTGCTGATTCTCACCTCTCCTGAAACAAAATCATTAATGGGCATATGCTTCCCTTCCTTTCATTTATATTTCAAGGGTGGGAATAGGTATGGGTAAGGATACAAGGAAAAGAGAAGCAGAGGAAGTCTGGGGAAGAATGGGGACCAGTGGACCCAAGGATGGATGTGTTGGGGACTCAAATACAAGAAGAGGCCTCTCACTGCCTCTTCCTATTTCCCTGTTGAGTCCCCCTGATGTCCCTCACCCCAAAGAGGACCTCCTCGGTTTGGCTTATGACATCTAGGATCTCTCCGACACTGTCGCTCAGTTCCGCTGTCTTCCCATCTTCCTCCGGCGAACTGTTTCCAACCCCGGGCAGGGTCCTCTCATTCCGCCAGGAGGCGCCTGGGGCTTCTGTGTCGCTTCCATCAGAGGATCCGCTATGGACGCTAAGCTCCTCAGCTTCGTCCGTGTCCGAGTCAGGGGCGGTGTGGCGGCGGATACGGGACACGGCTTCTCGCAGGGCCCCGGCGTAGGGCCCTGGGGTCCGCGCCCAGCCCCGGCCCGCGCGCCGCTGGACCACCGCCACTTCCGAGCCCTCGGCCCTGCCCTGGGCTCCCGAAGCTCCTGGGCCTAAGGCTTGGTGCTCTGGGCTACCTGGCTGCGTGGGGGCGTCCCGCAGGTTTACTTCCGGGGCCGGGAGCCCCAAGATGCGGGAGGTGCGCTCCTCCAGTGAGGAGTCCCCCGGCCTCCCGCCCTCAGCTTCGCCCCCGCGGCCCCCGCCGGGCTGGTGTAAAAGGCGACTGTTCGACAGCCGCTTTCGGCAAGGGGAAGGAAAGACCGTGGCCCCTTCACTCTCCTCCTTGCCGGGCTTCGATTGGCTGGCGGATTCCCCCACCACGCGTGTCACCCCAGAGGGCAAAAGCTGCACCTGCTGGGTTCGGGGGGTTGGAACATATTGGGATCGTATCACCACGCACGTGGCGTCAATGACAAAGACTCCTTCCCCACGGGACGGGCCCTGGGAACTGCGGGGCAAGGTGTGGGCACGGCGGGTCGCCTTCCAACCCTCCAGGGTCTCCGGTCCTGCCCCCTCTCCAAGACCCAGGGATTCTCTCCATCCGGTGCCTCCGGGAGCCCAGGGTCTGGGGAGTGTCTGGCTATGGCGGGGCGGCTGCTTTTTAGGGGAGGGAATCCAGCATTTAGGGAACCAGATCTGTTCTTTTCCTTCTTTCCCTTCCCTCGAGCCCTTGAGGTGGTGCCTGGATCTGGGAGCGGGACGCGGGGCACTGGGAGCCGCAGTTGCAGACCCCGCAGGAGTTGTCTCGGTGCCTGCGCTCCCTGTAGCTTTGGCTTGGGGATGGCTGTCGCTACCACTGTTCAAGTCAGCAGCAGCCAGCCCCAGGCTTTTCTCCACGACCCCCTTGCCGGGCTCTGGCCTTGCTCTGGCCGCTCCACAGCCTGGGGATCCCCCCAAGAGACCTTGCCCCTGTCGGAGACCCCAAGCCCCGAGGACGTCCCGGTAGATCCGAGGATCCAGCCTCTTCTTTGTGCGCCCTCCCTCTGTCCTGGCCGGAGTCGGAGGTGGGGCTGATGAAGTGGGCACCTGGGAGTGTCCGGGGCCTCTCTTAGTCCCCAAGGTCCTATGGGGGCCTTCGTAAGAAGGTGGAGCCACGTAGGGTGGCGGCCGGTCCCAGCGGCGTCGCGGGGCGGTCCCGGCAGAACCTCTCAGCAGCAGGTGAGCCTCGTAGCTTGGGGGCCCCGGCCGCCGACCTCCCCAGGGCCCCGCCCACGCCGACCCTGGGTCGCTCTGCGGCTGCGCGGATGGACGGGGCGCTCGCCCCACCAGCGCCAGGCGCTCCGGCCGCAAGGTAGCAGGGAGCCCTGCCGGCTGGGCTGCCCGAGGGACGTTGCGGGGCTCCGGGCGGGGCCGACCCGGGGGGCTTCGTCGGGCCCCACCAGCCTTGCGCCTTTTTCGCTCGGTCTCCTTGGCCTCCCGCTCCTGCGACGCCGCTTTCCTTTTCTCTTGCTCCCGAGCTCGGACCTCGGCCAGGGGCCCCGCCCGCCAGTTGGTCGCCTCCTGCAGCACCCTGGAGGCCCAGGGCCGGCGGGGCGGCGGCTGTGGGGATCCCGGGCGCGGCCCACACCTGGGACAATGAGCAGGAACCCAGGTGAGCAGTCTGTGGGGGAAGGGAGCCGAGGTCCGGGGAGCTGGGAGCAGTGGAGACCACTTGGGGCAGCCATGTGAAGGGGTGTGTGTGAGTGTGTGCGCGTGTGCACGTGCGTATATGTTAGGACTGAAGTCGAAGCGGGACTCCTCGCCATCTCTGCCTGCACACTTTAACAGCGTCTGCCCCATCTCACCTCCTGCCCTTTCTCACACCCACTCCTGTTCCCCCAAACAACCGGATGAGTCAGGCCCCAGCCTTCGGGAGCGGGCAGGGGTGGGAGGCGTGGGAAAGAGAAGGGGGATCAGTAGTGCTCGCTGGTGCCTGCGGGGAGGTCCAGACCCCACTCCCCGCCCCACCACTCTCTTCCCCTCACCCCTGCTTCACTCACGTGCGGTTCTGGAACCCGCGAGCCCAGTGGCTGGCCTGGAAGTCCATGGGCTGTCGAGAAGGGGCGCGGCGACTATAATGACAGGAAATAGTCTTCACTTCTATCACCAATAGCTTGGACTTCTGCACCCAGAGGCAGCTGCCAGACTCCTCATCCTGGAGCTCCCGGGGGCTGTCAGGCCCCTCGGAGAACAGTGGGCCATCCAGCATCCTGCCCCACCCCACCCCGGCCCCCCACCCTCCCACCCGCCCCAGGAGCCCCCTCCCAGCCCAGGGAGCCGGCGCCCACTGCAGAGCCGCGGGCCCGGGGACTGGGAACTATATATACCCGGGCACACGTGTGTGTGCCTGTCTCTGTGTGTGCGCGCGCATGTGACACCGCGCGGACTGCTCCGCGCTGCTACCTCCCCCATGTGCACGGCCGCCCCCTGGGGCCCGGGATTGGACGCCCCTTCCCACTGCTGTTGTCCCCCAAGCCTGATGGGATCGCACGAGTGGGCGGGGGAGGGACTTATGATTCTTGCCAAGCTGACAGTGCCCCCTCCCCCGCCCCTATTTCTTCAACCTTCCTGCCGTTTTAACCCTTTACTCTCCTGCTTGTCAGGTTGCCTGACCACCAGGGTTCTGCCCCTGGCTTCCTGCCTCAGATTTCAGTTTCCCCAACATAGAGTGCGTGAGAATGGAACTCAAGGTCTCTGCCTGCCACTCTGCTGGTTTCCATGGGGTTGGGGTGCAGGAGGGGCTGGCCCACGGCTGGGGGGCTATTTTTAGCGGCAGTGGCTGTTCGGGTGCAGAGATGAGATGAGTAACCAGCTCCCATGCGGTGGAGAGAGGAGGCGGTGGCTTTCACCAAGCTTTTGTGCGACTCTGAGGGAGAGCTGCCTTCCCTAAGCTCAAAAAGGGTGACCCCTACACCCGTATCTCCTCGCCAGCTCAGTGCTGCAGCCTAGGACTGCTGGTACAGCAGGACACAGGCGTGTGCCTTGGCCACCCAAGCTGCCCTACCAGTCCCATTCTACATGTTTGTCCTTGGGCAGCCAGGGAGCCCTCCCACAGCAGCAGGCTTTCACCTCCAATTTAGAAGCAGGATTTGGGGGTTATATTGTTCTGTGCCCACACAGCCTGCCCAGTTTTATGGAGGACAGAGTAAGTGCTTATGCACTCTCACCCTTCCAGAGGGGGATGGAGGAGAGATGGTGTGTTTGCTTGGCAAAACTAATCCCCTAGCAACTGAAATGATAAAAGTGGCCTTTTTTTTTTTTTTTTCCAATCTAGAGCTCCCCCTCACCACCACAATTGCCTAGTTCACTCAGCCCCCACCTGAAATGGTGCTCCAGATGCTCACCTTTGGGCTGCCTCTGTCCTGGGGGGCTGTTGCTTACATCCACATGATCCCTCCTCCTAAGCTTATACCAGGTGTCCCCTGATTCACCATGGTAATGTTAGTGGCAGCACAGCCCACGCCAACCCTTCCATGCAGAGACTTAGCAACCATGCCTGGCAACCATGGCAGCAGCCTCAGTGGAGGGGAGGGGTGCAGAGAGGGGAAAGAGAGTGTGTGTGTGGCAATGGTTCCTCGGGAAGAAGGGATAATTTGCCTCTGGAGAGGAATAGGTAAGAATAGAAGCTTGTGAGTCTCCCAAATTTTATCCCTTGTCTCTCCCTCAGCTTCATCCTCACACTGAGACTGATAGGTTGGGTTTTAGGGGGAAATCAGAGAAGCAAGAGTTCCCAATTAGTTTTCCACTAATGTACATGGAGCCCTTTGGGTCCAGACCCTTCCTTTTAAGGGGATGGGGAACAACCAGAAAGGTTGTTGTGGGGCAGAGACTGACTGACTGAGAAACAGCTCAACAAAACCAGGCCTCTGCTCCCTAACACAAACCTTTAGAGAGAATGCAAACATTCCCTGTCCCATCCACCCTACCCCCCTTGATTCCACACACCTGCCAGCTGCACTGATGACTTGACTCGAAGGTGCTTCCTTCCACCCTAGGTCCCACTAGAATCCTGAGGCTTTTTAAAGCCCCTGCCTCCTCCCTAGGCAAATCTTCCTTAATGAGGGAATGTGACATAAGAGGCCATCTGTCCTTTCCACCATGTACTTACCCTCCCCACACATAAACATACTCTAATTCTAATAACTTGGAAGCCTTCCTCCCCCAGGTTTGAGAATGTGCTGTGAGAGCTGTAAAGGGGTGAAGGCTGAAGCAGGGGCTCCTCTACAGCCATGATGCAACACTGAAAGCTGAGCTCTGATGAGGGCCACTTTCTTTTTTTAAAATAAGCTTCCTCAGGTCGAATCTGATGAGGGCCTTGATGCTTTTCCCTGTGTTCCATCGGGAAGCCTAGTTTGGAGAACCCAGTATGCCGTGGCTGGAGGGTCATCAGAGGGGTTAGGCACTGTCAGGGAAGGAGTTAGCAGCACTGTGGGGGAAGGGGCAAGCAATGACTCTGAAATTGCTCCTGGTTTGGATGGGAAACTGTATCATACCTGTAAGGCAGGGGTGAGCTGGCACCCAAATTTAGCTCATACTCCAGTCTAGCAGTTCTGGTGTTGGGTGCTGACTGCTGTTTGGGTCTACATGGTTTCAGTACAGAGAATGGATCTGATGGAGTGACCAGTGCCCTGCTGTTCTCCCACCATCCAGCTCTGTCTCACCTTGGAAGAAAGGCAAGGGATTTGTAGGTTTAAAGATAGTGCCAGCGAGGTACGGTGGCTCATGCCTATAATCCCAGCACTTTGGGAGGCTGTGGTAGGTGGATCACAAAGTCAGGAGTTTGCGACCAGCCTGGCCAATATGGGTGAAACTCTGTCTTTACTAAAAAATACAAAAATTAGCCGGGTGTGGTGGTGCACACCTGTAATCCCAGCTACTCAGGAGGCTGAGGCAGGAGAATCGCTTGAACCTAGAAGGCAGAGGTTGCAGTGAGCTGAGATTGTGCCACTGCCCTCCAACCTGGGCAACAGAGCGAGATTCCATCTCAAAAAAAAAAAAAAAAATAGTGCCAACTCAGCAAAAGCCAAACAGTCCAACCTTCCTTAAGAAAAGCTGATAATGGTGGCAGGATTCTCTGCCCAAAGGAGACCCTCAAATCTGTCTACTCTTGGGAGTAGACACTAACACTGTTACAGGATTTTCCTTGGGTACCAGCCATGATTCAGGCAGAGGGGAAAGTGAGATAGAAAGGAGGAACCACAGGGAATAGGGTAAGGAGTAGTTGTGAAAGAATTAGAAGTCAGAAGTCTACTGTAGCAGTAAAGACTGTTTGGGTTCAAATCCTAGCTCCATTTTTTTTTTTAGTAGCTGTGTGGTCTTGGGTTAGTTACCCAGCCTCTCTGTGCCTCCATTTTTTAAAATCTGTAAAAAACTGGAATAGTGTCTACTATTGTTCTGAGGATTAGTTAATATATGTAAAGCACTGAGAATGATGTCTGGCACACAGTTTTGTGTGTGTACGTGTGTGTGTACACACATTATTAATGACCAGTTGAAGAAGCCATATAAAGTAGGAAGGTAGTATCCATCAACTGTAAAAATCAAACACTGCAATACCATGAAGAGATAGCTGTCATTTAATTAGATTTGCCACAAAAAGCAATAACCTTAGCTAATCACGCTGCCCTCCTCCTCCACCTAACCCCCATCTCCCTTCATATGCACAAACACAGGAACCCAAAGCCCCTCCTCCCCACAATCCTCCCCACTCACATTATGGGAAGAAATGTCATTAAATGGACTTAGCCTCCTCCATGTAGCATGGAACAGGTGAATAAAAATATCTTTATGAAGAATTTTGTTGTGCTGTTATCTTAGGGTTGAATCAGGGCTGAGATGGTGGCAGAGGCAAGTGAGGTCTGGGGATCTCTTAGAGATCAGAATTTGTCTGAGAGGCACAGAGCCTATAGTTCACCCAGAAAGGGGGCTATGTCTAAGAAGACAGGGGCTAGAATTGGCTAGGCTGAAAGTTTTTTTCAAGTGTATGTGTGAGGGTAAGGGTAGCTATAAATCCATTCTCCTTCCTCCCCCTATACCTTCCCTAGCTCCCAGATAGAAGGGCAGGGGGCCCTGAGCAGGGAACAGAGTCACAATTCCCCCAAGTTTCATCTGATTCCCACAGAGCTTCCAGCAGGCAGTGAGTTGGGCATATCCCCTGGTGCTGCCTGACCCCTTCCCCCAGCTCAGGGCTGCTTCTCTCCACCTGTGAGCACCAGGGCCTGCAGGATGTCAGACAGTGATACAATTCCCTTGACCACATCATTTTCATCCACCACTACAAGTCGGTGAACCTGGCACAGAACAACAAGGGAAAAAGGGAATGTTTAGTGCTGGCCTCAGGGGAAGCCCCTCTGCTCCTACTCTCCTTGCCAAACCCCACTCTCAAGGTTGCTCCCCTCAGCTCCTTTAGGGTTGCTGGCCTCCCTACCTCTGCTTCCACTAGCCTGTTGATGATGGTCTCCAGAGTCTCATGCAGGTAGCACTTGAGAACACCCTCAAAGTAATGTGATCGATGTTGCAGGGCTTTAGTCACAGATACATCTAGGTTGTTGTAAGTCTTTTCTGCTGCCAGATTCTGGGGAGACAGAGGAAGGAGCTTGCAGGGAAGCAAGAAAGCCAGCCTCCAAACCCTGAACCCATCCAACCTCACCAGAGGGATTCAGGGCAATTGTCAGCCACAAGGCATACCCAACTCATTCAATTCCTTTTCAAATAGGATTTGAAAGCCTGGAAGCTTCTAAGACCCTTAGATCACAGAAGAGACTCCCTTCTCCCTCTCCATATTTAATAGCACCCCCCACCCTTCCCTACCTCCCAAACCCTCCACAATCACTCACGATAACATCAAACTTGGAGTAGATGTCCACCACACGCCCTAGGGGGACAGAGGCAGCTCAGTAAGGAGGATCTGGGGTCTAAAGCTCCCCCTACTCACAGAATCACCCTCCTGGCTAAGCTGAGGGGAAAGCAGATTTTCCCGGGGCCACCCTGACTTGCCTGGATCTTCCCTCCCTCTCCTTCTGCCCAATCTCTCACCCTTCTCGTCCACCACTGGCAAGGCTGAGACTCGATGCTGTACAAAAATCCCCAGAGCCACATAGACGGGGGTGGTAGTGCGAACCATAGCAATATTGGCATAGGTGCCAATCTGTAGCTCTTCCAGAGACTTGGACATGAACTCTGGCTTGGGGAACTCAGTGATCTGAGGAAAGAACCATCAGCTTAATTTTCAAGGCACCCAAAGCCACCCTTGGATACCCCCTCCAACCCAGTATGTTAGAAATAAGGGCTGGGTGCGCTGGCTTATGCCTATAATCCCAGTACTTTGGGAGGCTGAGGGGGACATATTGCTTGAGCCCAGGAGTTCGAGACCAGCCTGGGCAACTTGGCAAAACCCCATCTCTATAAAAAATACCAAAAAATTAGCCAGGTGTGGTGGTACACACCTGTAGTCCCAGCTCTTCTGGGGGTTGAGATTGGGGGTCACCTGAGCCCAAGAGGTTGGAGGCTGCAGTGAGCCATGATAGTGCCTCTGCACGCCAGCCTGGGCAACAGAGTAAGACCTTGTATCAAAATAAATTAATAAATAAATAAGAAGTGGGGCTGGATGCAGTGGCTCACACCTGTAATCCTAGCACTTTGGGAGGCTGAGGCGGGAGGATCACTTGAGCTCAGGAGTTCGACACTAGCCTGGGCAACACAGTGAGACCTTGTCTCTTTTTTCAATAAATAAATAAATAAACGAAAAAAGAGAAAAAAGAACTGGGCTGAGGAGCACTTACAAACAATTTGAGGAACTTCAGAATGCGCTTGTGGGTGAGGATATACAAAGTATTGCCTGATTCTGGGTCAATAACTGGCAGCCTGTGGATCTTGTTCCGAATTAATGAAGAGACAGCATCAAACAAGCTGTGGGAGGGTTGGAGATAATAAGTTCCACAGTGCTGGGGCTGAGGGTGAGTAAACAGCTCCATAAAGTGTATCACTAAACAGGGAAAGCTAATGGTTAGGGAAGGGGGGCAGAGTACAGGCCAGACTTAGAGAGAGAGAGAAAGTGTGTAAGTGTGTGTGTGTGTGTGTGTGTGTGTCTTTTCTCTCTTCTTCCCCTTTCCCTGGGTGTCTAGGGCATTAGCTAGGCTGATGGCAAATCTCTTCCCCTTTTTGGACAGATGGATAACTGGAACTCACCTGGCATTAGGAGAAATGCAGACAAGCGGTTTAAAGGAATCCTGGAGGTACACCTCTGAAGGGAAAAGGGATGGGTCACAAAATACCACCACGGAAAAGCATTTCCCAGAAACCCTCCATCCCTTTATAACCTTTTACAACCCCAATTCTCTACATACCTCTCCAAGTTTCTATCTTGTGTTCTTCTAGCTCATAGATCTGTACCTGAAAGCAGAAGCAACAGAATTTGAGACCTGATCTCTCTGCTTCCTGAAGCCCTTGTGGCTTGCTGGGAGCAAAAGAAATGAGAATGAGGGACTTAGGGTAGGGAAAGTGATTTTGGTCATTGGGCTAAGGTTCCTTACCAAGGCTGATTTATAGTAGCGGTGCAGGATATTGATGAAATCAGTGATGGTCAGCATGCCTAGAGGACAAGACAGAGCCCTCAGTACTGCCTGAAGCTTGTCTCCCTGCCCAGCACAAGATGCCAATAATAATGTGTTCCAGAAACTTTTGCTTACCCACAAAACTTTGCTTCTTACTATCCCATAAAGGGGCAGCTCGTACACCGTTAGTCACCAAAGCAAAAAAAGCTTTCTTCACCTGTAGCCAAGACAGTAATAATCATAAAGGCAAATCCACAGGGGCAGGACTGTAAAATAAAGAACAGTGTTTGGGCATGTTGGGTAAAACATGAGACTAACTTCACAGAAGGATAAGGATATTACCCTTAGGATGAGATAGGATGAGAGGTATTAAACCACAGGCTCCAAAGGGGGAAGGGAAAAGAGGATTCACCCACCTGCAGGGACGTATCAAATACAACCAATTTGGAGCTTGTGGGAATCAGGTCATAGCAGCGATGAGACTTCATGAAGGAAGTATACACGCTATTGTTGGATTCTGGGGTCTCTGCATAGGGTGGGATAGTTAGCAGCTTCCTTCCCCATAAAAACTCCCAATCAAAAGAGACAGAAAACAGAATAGTGTTCTAGTATCTCAAATATTTACAGCATGATTTTTTTTATAAGGCCCCTTATCTGTCTTGTTCCTATTGTTTCCACAAAACCTGCATAAACCTCTTAGAAACCATTTCATCCAACCCCTATCTCCAGGTTAAGACTTTATCTATTGGTCCCTATAGGTAAAAGAAAGTTGACTAAAACATAAAGCCTATAGTATCTCTCTTTAACATGTTATAATCTAAAAATGTTTCTCATCTTTAATCCAAGCTTTCCCTTTCATATATTTAGCACATTTTCACTTTCCTCTTTTTTCAATTAAATAAGCTGCTTAAAATTCTTCTAAGACTGTGCTGGGCATGGTGGCAAGCACCTGTAATCCCAGCTACACAGGAAGTTGAGGCAGAGGATCACTTGAACCCAGGAGCTCAAGGACAGCCTGGGCAACACAGCGAACCCCTGTCTCAATTGAAAAAAAAAGTTATTTTAAGACCTGCAAATGGGAAAGTCATGGTCCAAGTTGGGCCATTTCTCATTAACAATAAGTTGGAGCCCAGTGCTCAATCAACCTGGCTCAAAACACCCTGATAGTCCATTCTGGGACCACTCTGTAAATCAGAAATCATCCCAGGAGATCCTGGGTAGTTTACCTTTTTCTATTCCTGTGATTTTAATTGCTCGCTCTAAACTAGGGAAGCAATCTCCCAAAATAATAGCTTGAATGTGCTACATACTATACTATGTGCACTTAAAAATATTACATTAGCCAGGCGCGGTGGCTCACGCCTGTAATCCCAGCACTTTGGGAGGTTGAGGTGGGTGGATCACGAGGTCAGGAGATCAAGACCATCCTGGCTAACACGGTGAAACCCCGTCTCTACTAAAAAATACAAAAAATTAGCTGGGCATGGTGGTGGGCGCCTGTAGTCCCAGCTACTCGGGAGGCTGAGGCAGAAGAATTGCTTGAACCTGGAAGGCAGAGGTTGCAGTAACCCCAGATTGTAACAGTGCACTCCAGCCTAGGCAACAAGAGTGCAACTCCGTGTCAAAATAATAATAAATAAATTACATTGACTGGGCATGGTGGCGCACGCCTGTAACCCAGCACTTTGGGAGGCCAAGGTGGGTGGGTCACCTGAGGTCAGGAGTTTGAGACCAGTCTGGCAATATGGCAAAACCCCATCTCTACTTAAAAAATACAAAAATTAGCCAGGCGTGGTGGCACATGCCTGTAGTCACAGCTACTCAGGGGACTGAGGCAGGAGAATTGCTTGAACCCAGGAGGTGGAGGTTGCAGTGAGACGAGATTGTGCCTCTGCACTCCAGCCTGGGTGACAGAGTGAGACTCTGTCTCCAAAAAAAAAAAAAAAAAAATTACAAAATTTAATCCTTACAACAAATGTGTAAGTACTGTCCTCATATTTCAGATGAAAAAATAGGTGTAGTTAAATAAACTGTTCAAGTTCACCCATTAATAAGTGGCAAGAAAGACTCAAACAAACCCAGATCTGATTCCAAACTTCATGCTCTTAAGTATTTAATCAATTTGGTTTTTAATATTTAATTTTTAAACCAAAGTTATACAGACACACAGTTTAAACAGTCAAACAGGTTTACAAATTTTGTTAAGAAAAAAATGCAGTCCTTGCAACCCACCTTCCTGTACTACCCTTCCCCAGAGATGAGAACATCTATCTACCTCTTTTAGTGGATTATTTTGGTACTTAATTCTATGTCCTTAAATAACATGTTTGTATTGCTAGTTTCCGATTTTTTTTTTTTCATTTTGGGGCATTATTTATCATCTACCTACCAAAGAAGAGGAGAATTTCTAGTTCTCTCTCCTACTAGGAGACATGTACTTCCACATGTCTTCCCATCCTCCCCATTCTTCCAGGAGCTAAACCATAATGTTTAAATCTTTTTTATTTATTTATTTATTTATTTTATTTATTTTTTTATTTTTTTTTGAGACGGAGTCTTGCTCTGTGCCCCAGGCTGGAGTGCAGTGGCGCGATCTCGGCTCACTGCAAGCTCCGCTCCCCCGGGTTCACGCCATTCTCCTGCCTCAGCCTCCTGAGTAGCTGGGACTACAGGCGCCCACCACCATGCCCAGCTAATTTTTTGTATTTTTTAGTAGAGACGGGGTTTCACCATGTTAGCCAGGATGGTCTCGATCTCCTGACCTCGTGATCCGCCCGTCTCGGCCTCCCAAAGTGCTGGGATTACAGGCTTGAGCCACCACGCCCGGCCTATTTATTTATTTTTTTTTGAGAGGGAGTCTTGCTCTGTCACCCAGGCTGGAGTGCAGTGGCATGATCTCAGCTTACTACAACCTCAGTCTTCCAGGTTCAAGCGATTCTCCTGCCTCAGCCTTGCAAGTAGCTGGGGTTACAGGCGCCCGCCACCATGCCCGGCTAAATTTTGTATTTTAGTAGAGATGGGGTTTCACCATGTTGGCCAGGCTGATTTCGAACTCCTGACCTCATGTGATCCGCCCACTTCGGCCTCCCAAAAGTGCTGGGATTACAGGCATGAGCACTGCACCCAGCCAGTATTCAAATCATTTTGACTGAATATTTATTATTCAGAAATAAGCCAAATAATAAACTATGATTTTTTTTCTTCCTTTCACAACTTTGTTTTCTCTGGAGTTAATGTCTTGTCCTTTTGTTTGTTTAATTTTCTATGTATAATTCTTATAACTAATCCAACCCCCAAATGCTTCACCAGTTGTTTAAATCTCCTTTCAAGAGGTTCAAAAGCATTAGATAGTCTATCAATTTAAACTACCCAAAGAAGTCTCGCTGGAGCCTTCTGACCTGCTCAAATCTGGGCTGGTTTAACTGGTGTGCACTGCTGTCATCCTGGGATCTTTCTTCATCACCATCCTGGGTACCCCTTTCACGTCTCTCCTCCACTGGTGCTCCTGTATCCTATATCGCATTTTCATATTTTTTGATTACTCCCTTATTTTGGTGGAACACATCTTCCAGTACCTTCCTGAGAAAGGGTGCATGGAAGGTACATGTTTTTGAGACCTTGCAGCCTGTAGATATCTTTATTCTACCCTCATCCTTGGATTTATAATTCGACTGAATAGAGAATCTGCAGGAAAGCTTGGAATGTATTTTCCTGCAGAATGTTGAAGGCATTCCTCCACTGCCTGCTAGCTGCTGGTGTTGTTGAGAGGCAATTCTGACTTTTTGTATGTGACTTTTTTTTTTCTCTCTGAAAACTCATAGGATCTTCTCTGTTTCCAGTGTTCTGAAATCTCAGGATGACTGTGCTTTGGGTGGGTCACTTTCATCCATTGTGCTGAGTATTTGATGGGCCCTTTCAATATGAAAACTAATGTCCTCAAGTTCCAATAAATGTTCTTGAATTAGTTCCTCAATTATTTCCTTCCCTCTGTGTTGCCATTTTTCTCTTTCTATGACTCCTATTTAGAAACTGGACCTCCTAGACTGATCCTTTAATGTTTGTTTGTTTTGTGGGTTGTTGAAATATTTCCTTTTTTTTTTTTTTTTTTCAAAGAGACAGGCTTTCATTCTGTCACCCAGGTTGGAGTGCAATGGCGAGATCATGGCTCACTGCAGCCTTGACCTTCTGGGCTCAAGCAATTTTCCTGTCTCAGCCTCCTGAGTAGCTGGGACTACAAGTGCATGCCACTGTGCCTGGCTAATTTTTATTTTTTTTTGTTGAGACAGGGTCTTGCTGTGTTGCTGAGCTGGTCTCGAACTCCTGATCTCCCGCCTCGGTCTCCCAAAGTGCTGGGATTATAGGTATGAGCCACTGCACCTTCTCTCCTATTTTCTACTTTGTTGATTTTTAACTCTCCTTTCTGGGAAATTTCCTCATGTTGACTTTTGAAACCTCCAGCTATGTTTAAATTTTTGCTATTATATTTTTAATTTCCAAGAGTTCCTTTTTCTTTTCTGAAAATTCCTTCTTTAAAAAATTGTATCCTATACTTGTTTCATGGTGGAAATATGGTTTTTTGTTGTTGCTTTTGTTTTCTTGAGACAGAGTTTTGCTCTTGTTGCCCAGGCTGGAATGCAATGGTGCAGTCTCAGCTCACTGCAACCTCCAACTCCTGGGTTCAAGCGATTCTCCTGTCTCAGCCTCCCGAGTATCTGGGATTACAGGTGCACACCACCATGCCCAGCTAATTTTTGTATTTTTAGTACAGACAGGGTTTCATCATATTGGTCAGGCTGGTCTCGAACTCCTGACCTCAGGTGATCTGCCTGCGTCGGCCTCCCAAAGTGCTGGGATTACAAGCGTGAGCCACCATGCCCGGCTGTTGTTTTCTTTAAAGATATACTACTTTCACAGGTATTGAGAAATATGTTCCTTTACCTAAGGTTATATTAATATTATTAAAGTTTTCTTCTCCCCTTTTCCTTCCAGTTGCTTTTTTCCTGTTTGTTTCTTCCGTGTGTACATGAATTCGGGAGGGGCAGTTTGCTTTTTCATTTTTATTTATTTTTTACCAGGGAGATACAGCCTTCAGAGTAAAACAAAGGTACATTCCAGGGTGGGGTCGGGGGCAGTTTGGATCATTTTTCACAGATCCTTTCTTTAGATGTTTGGTAATCCCTGGTTTAAAGGAGAACTTAAACCATAACTTAAGAGTGGAGGCTTTAAAGCTGAGTGGAAGCTCTAAGTGTGTAAGTGAACCTTACTGACTGCGAATCATTTGGGTAGGAAACATTCAATACTTAAATATTTTAGAACTTCCCTTCAAGAGGATTCTGGAGAGAAGGATTATTCAATTTCATGCTTGGAGGGTGAAGTCTTTTCTGCCAGCACTCTGGAAACTGAAAAGGAAAAGACGGCTGGAGGCTCAGCATCTAGTATAGTTCACTACATGCTCCTGTTTTCAGTGCAGTACTTCAGTCCTAAGCTGTGCCCGAGTCCCTTGCCAGATTTCCAGTCTTTGCCACAGGTGGGAGGTGGAGTTGCTCACTGTTGCTCACCCGATCACTCAATGGGATAGGGTGTCTTGGGATCTGACTGTTTCTTAGACCTTAATGCTTCTTGGCTCTCACTGCTAGTTATAATTCAGTTTTCTCAGATCTAAGTCATTCATCACTCTTTTGTCTGCTTTTCAGCTTCCAAAAATTCATTGCTATTATCTCCTCTCCTATTTTCCCTATGGTGTGTTTGTATCTTTTTCTTTAAAAAATTTCCTTTATGATGGTTTTAGGGGACTTTTTGTGAATATATATTCAACGTACTATCTTTTTTTTTTTTTTGAGACAGAGTCTTGCTCTGTCACCCAAGCTGGAGTGCAGTGGTGCGATCTCCACTCACTGCAACTTCCTCCTCCTGAGTTCAAGCGATTCTCATGCCTCAGCCACCCAAGTAGCTGCGATTACAGGCATGTGTCACCACGCCTGGCTAATTTTTATATTTTTAGTAGAGATAGGGTTTCACCACGTTGGCCAGGCTAGTCTCAAACTCTTGTTCTCAAGTGATCCACTCGCCTCAGCCTCCCAAAGTGCTGGGATTACCAGGCATGAGCCACTATGCGCAGCCCAATCTACCAATCTACCATCTTTAACTGGAAGCCTACCATTGTTATTTCAACTTGAGAATTCAAACTCCCAAGAAAATGTTTTTGGACACCAGTTGAAGATACATACACTACACTGATAGTTAAATACTATCATTCAGGCCAGAGGCCCACAAATATATTGGATTTGGCTTTCTCGGTGTCTTTTTTTTTTGAGACCAAGTCTCGCTCTGTCGCCCAGGCTGGAGTACAGTGGCACCATCTCGGCTCACTGCAACCTCCACCTCCCAGGTTCAAGCAATTATCCTGCCTCAGCCTCCTGAGTAGCTAGGACTACAGGCGCCCACCACCACGCCAGGCTAATTTTTTATATTTTTAGTAGAGACGGGGTTTCACCATGTTGGCCAGGATGGTCTTGATCTCCTGACCTCGTGATCCGCCAGCCTCGGCCTCCCAAAGTGTTGGGATTACAGGCGTGAGCCACAGGACCCGGCCTGTTTGTTTGTTTATAATTAAGACAGGATCTCACTCTCTGCCCAGGCTGGAGTGCAGTGGCACAATCACAGCTCACTGCAGCCTCAACCCCCTGGGCTCAAGCAATCCTCCCACCTCAGCCTCCCCAGTAGCTGTGACTAGAGGTGCACACCACCATGCCCGGCTAATTTTTAATTTTTTGTAGAGACAGGGTCTCACTTATCCAGGCTGGTTTTGAACTCCTGAGCTCAAGTGATCCTCCTGCCTTGGCCTCTCAAAGTGCTGGTGTTACGCTGTGCCCAGACTTATTTAAATCAAAAATTTTTAACCTAGAAATTTACATAAAAATCCAAATTTCTAGTGTCTTCAAAGTCAGAAGATCTGCCAAAAATAGGTCTTAATTGACCAGACCTAGATAGTTGTTGCCTTTTTTTTTTTTTTGGGATGGAGTTTTACTCTTGTTGCCCAGGCTGGAGTGCAATGGCATGATCTTGGCTCACTGCAACAAAATCCGCCTCCTGGGTTCAAGTGATTCTCCTGCCTCACCCTCCCAAGTAGCTGGGATTATAGGTGCCCACCACCAAGCTCGGCTAATGTTTTCTACTTAGTAGAGATGGGGTTCCACCATGTTGATCAGACTGGTCTGGAACTCCTGACCTCAGGTGATCCACCTGCCTTGGCCTCCCAATGTGGTGGGATTACAGGCATAAGCCACCACAACCCAGCTGCCTTAATTGTAATTTTTTTTTGAGACAGAGTCTTGCACTGTCCCCCAGGCTGGGGTGTAGTGGCACGATCTCGGCTCACTGCAACCTTTGCCTCCCAGGTTCAAGCAATTCTCCTGCCTCAGCCTCCCAAGTAGCTGGGATTACAGGTGTGCGGCACCACGCCTGGCTAATATTTTTATTTCTAGTAGAGACAGGGTTTCACCATGTTGGCCAGGCTGGTCTTCAACTCCTGACCTCAGGTGATCCACCCGCCTTGGCCTCCCAAAGTGCTGGAATACAGTCATGAATCACCATAGCCAGTCCAGTTGTCACCTTCTTTTAGATGCAACACAAGATCTACAGGTTGTCATAATCATATGTAGTTCACTTCACTGCTTGGTCCATGTAGGCAATTTGAGTTTCAGGTTTCTGCCTTGGTGCTAATACAAATGTACTCAAAAACATAAAATAGGCACTGGCCGGCATTGGAATTGTCTTCCTTGTGCTCTGGATTTTAGAGGTTTAGTGCTTCTATTACTAGATTAGTTCTAAGAGCCTTTTTCTAATTTAATTTTTTTTTTTTCTCCTGAGATGGAGTTTCACTCTTGTTGCCCAGGCTGGAGTGCAATGGCACAATCTTGGCTCACTGCAATTTCTGCCTCTGCGGTTCAGGCATTTCTGCCTCAGCCACCCAAGTAGCTGGGATTACAAGCATGCACCACCACACCTGGCTAATTTTGTATTTTTAGTAGAGACAGGGTTTAACCAGGTTGGTCAGGCTGGTCTCAAACTCCTCAGCTCAAGCGATCCACCTGTCTCGGCCTCCCAAAGTGCTGGGATTACAGGAGTAAGGCACAGCGCCCAGCCCTTTGCATAATTTTTTGTGTACACTCAATGGCTTTAGTGAGCTTGCTGGGTGATAAAATCCTGGTGGCACTGTTTCTGGACTACGCAGAAAATACCCAGGACTTCTAAAACATGGTTAGCCAGCCCAGAGCTGCCTATGGAAGTTTTCCCTGTACCTCAGAAGTTTCTCTCAAGTGGTTTGATAATTGAAGATATTAACCATCCCCAATCTGCCCAAGATTTATTCCTGGGTGATCTTGCCAAACTACTGTCACTGATTTTTGTGGTTTGGCCCATTATCTGGCCCTGCTTTGACTTTCCCAGGGGAGAGATTCAAAAGCATTGCTGAAGACATTGTTAGGGTCAGGCTATTGTTTCCATGCCCACTTTCCTTTCTTCAGTAAACTTACCTTGAGGATGCTCATTTTCCAGAGCTGGGGAGCTATCTGAAGAAATGACCTGGAGAGACAAGAAAACAGATTCAGCTTAACCTGGTTCCATCCATTTAAGCCTAGCAACATTAGGGGAAGGGCTGGTGAACAAATAATGACTTTCTTTAAAGCACTATAAAGCCACCACCTCCCCCAACCCTGTTTTTTTTCTGTTTCTGAGACAGGGTCCCGCTCTGTCACCCAGACTGGAGTGCAGTGGTGTGATCACAGCTCACTTCAGCCTTGACTTCTTCCGGGTCAGGTGATCCTCCCTCACTTCAGCCTCCTGAGTAGGTGGGACTACAGGCGCACGCCATTATACCCAGCTAATTTTTGTATTTTTAGTAGAGATGGAGTTTCGCCATGTTGCCCAGCTGGTCTTGAACTCCTGGGCTCAAGTGATTGCCCTCCTTGGCCTCTCAAAGCACTACGATTACAGGCACGAGTTACTGCACCCAGCCTTATTAGGCTCTTCAGAAATAATGATCTCATTTAATCTTCATAACAACCCTGAAGTAAATACTATTATTAGCCTTATTTTCACAAATTATGTCTCTGAG